AAAATAACTTTTTTTAGTTTGTTTTTATAAGTAAAAAAATTCCGACTTTGGGAAAAATCAAAATTTTTTAAAACTATTTGATTCTACAAAAAAGCTCCGCGATAAGATATAAGAGACCTTCCAAAATTTGTATGCGAATAATGTTGATAAATAAAATTGTCATTTTTTAGATCATATTTGTTTTTGGGCTTGATTGCATATAAATTTTGAAATGATATTGGAGTTAAGTTTATCTTACATTTAAATATAAAGCAAAGAACATTAAAAACATTTAGTTAGTATATCCATGCAAATCCATCCCAGTGGGCACCGGACCAAAAAAAGACGTTTTTTGAACGTTCAAAAGACGTCCGAAACGTTCAAAAGACGTCCAAAACGTGTATAAGACGTTTAAAAGATGTCTTTTTTACGTCAGTGCCCACTGGGATGCTGTTCACTAGCGAATAATTTATTCAAAGTTAAATGGTTCTTCATAACATTTCAAATAATTTTTTCAATAATTTTGCAAACTATTGATGTTAATGATATTGGTCACGTTTTGAAGAATCTAACTTTCCTTTCTTAAATAGCGGTCGTCTGCAGTTAATCATTCATTTGGTATAATACCACAATAATTTGACATGTTCAAATTTTTTTATTTATTAGGCTACTTTTATTTTTTTTATCAGTTTTTCCTAAAACTTCTGAATGTTCAAAATTACAAATCCACCAGTAAAGAAAACTTTGTCCAAAGTGCCCAGCAAACACCTAGTCTTCCAGAATAAATCAATATTTATTCAAAATTGGTCAAAAAATTGATAAAACGTTAAGTAATTTGTTATAGACCAAAAATTGACGCTTGATTTAAATCTACATTTATAGCTTTTTATACGTTTATTAAACGTTGTATACGTTTATTAAGCGTTGATTAAATTAATATTAATCATAGTTATTTAATTGATAATTAGCCAATTGCCGATATTTAGCCGAATTAGGAAGATGATTAATCAATAATATCTAAACGTAAAGTTTTCAAAAAAAGTCTATTTTCTTTTTTTATAAGTTTAGCGAGAGCTTGTTGGCCTTAAACCATTCATTTAAATTTTATAGTTCTTGATTCACTGTGTTAAACATTAAATTAATGTTTTTGTGGCTAAAAAATATTTGCGTATTGTAAACAAAAAAAAACAAAGTTGATAAGATGAGAAGATATCATTAATATAAACGAGGAATAGCAATGGCACTAGAATTGATCCTTGCGGGATCCCACAAGTAATACTTTTAAGTTGTTTGACAATAATGTCATAGAATAATCCTATTCTTTGATTATTAAAGTAGGGTAAATACCATTTTAAGTTGTAGTTTTTTATTCCATAGTTATCTAGTTTATACAAAAGAGTCTCATGGTCAAATGTGTCAATTGCTTTCGAGTGTATTTGTGTTTTAACGAATCCATTTAAAATTTCTTTTACAAGTTTGAGTACAGCGTGTTCTGTTGAATGTTGTTTTTGAAATCCATATTGATTGATATTTAAGTGGTTATTATTAACTAGAAAGTTATAGAATCTATTGTGCATTATGCGTTCTAATATTTTTGTCAAATAGAAATTGGTTAAATAAAAATTCGTTTATATTTAGAAGCCATGGTATTATCCCCGCTTTTAAATAAAGAAATAACTTTTATTATCTTAAACTGTTTAGAAAATATCCCGTGATTTAAAGAAATGTTGTAAATATGCTAAAATGGGTGTTCCATAATCATATCATAGACATGATATGTTAGGTCAATTCTCGGCATGACATTTTAAGTCAATTTTAGCATCTGCACTTTTTTCGGCTTTTAACTTCCTTTCGGAGTTGTTAGGAAAGAGGTGTAGCATGATAGTCGGTGGAAGTTCACGGCGTAGTTGTATTTTTGTTACTCCTTTTACGTCAGGAAATCTGTAAGCGATTCGACCATACCGGACGTAAAACGGTAATAAATCTTTTGTAGGCGCTTCTGCGGTCAAATGCAAGGTTTCGGCTTCCTACTGAACCCAGCTTCTAGGACTGGTTTTAGTCATAATTGTATCTGGGTGTTCGGAAGAAAAAAACTGAATTCTATTGAAGTAGATAGTACAAAATTTGATCTGCACATTGCAGAGTTTTTACCATAAGATATATATATAAATATATATATATATATATATATATATATATATATATATATATATATATATATATATATATATATATATATATATATATACCTAAAGAAAAAAACTACCTGTCGTAAATGAAAAAAGTGATAACTCCACTGTCACAAGGAAGGACAAAGTTGTCAAAGCAAAATACTGAAAAGTATATTAAAAAGATGAAACTTGTCGAAAACTTGATTTAAATAGATGCTCCTGTGAAATTAATTATGTGCACCCTTTTTTTATAAAATGTCTACAATTCAACTAATTTTCTGTCTACTAATAAAATAGCTTCATTTTTATGTTTACTGGTGGTTTACAAACAATTATAAATATATTCTGCCGGCAATTTAATAATAACTGTGCTCGTAAAAACTAGTGGTCTAGATTTGTATTTACTGGACAAGAATTGACAAATAACCTTACACTTTTCAACTGAATTTTCATTTTTTGTGGTTGCTCATAATTTTGGGAAAATCTCTTAGCTGTATACCATTATTTTCCATCATTAGTAACTCCTGCACATCCTAAACGCGCCATGACTAAATGAGAAAAAAAGAAATAGTTTTTTTTCTTCCTGATGTCAAATTCTGTTTTGTAATTCCTAGGTATGAAATATGCAAAAAGTGATCAAAAACCTAATCTAAGCATGCAGTGTTGAAAGTAAAAACGCTTACTAACTGTCCATATTAAAAAAGTCCGTATTAACTGGACTTTTCTGATAAATATTAATACCATTTATTTTAGTTAGATTAACTTTACAATTGAAGCATTTTTAAAACAATTTAATTTTTCAGTGGTTGCATTATAAAAGCAACAACATAAGCTTCTACACCTTTTCAAGATGTAAATGAGAACATGAAAGTTGTAATTAAGCAGTCATAATATGTAATTAAGAAACACAACATGTAATTGAGAAAACGTTATATGTAATTGAGAAACACAACATGTAAATAAGAAGTCGTAACATGTAATTAAGAAACACAACATGTAATTGAGAAAACGTAAAATATAATTGAGAAATCATAATATATAATTGAGAAATTGTAACTTGTAATTGAGAACACATAAATTAAAATAGCAAATTCACAGTCACAGCGCGTGGTCATCCTTCCCCGGACAAATCCCGCCATGGCCCTCGGATTACATACCGCATATTTATTGTTTTTAGTGTTTATTACGTTAAATTCATTTGTCCAAAAATTATAAATTTTTCCCTAAAATGTTTTTAGTGTTTATTATGTTAAATTCATTTGCCCAAAAATTATAAATTTTTCCGTAAATTTTTCCCTAAAAAATTAAATTTACGCTACAAATCTTGCGTCATTTTTAAGTGCGTCATTTTATACGCTCCATTTTTTTACGCGCCATTTTTTTTAAGCGCCATTATACACTTACTCCTTTAAAGCGATATCTAAATTAAAATTTTCGTGTTCTTAATTACATCTTTCTATTTCTTAATTACAACTTACATTTTCTCAATTACATGTTACGATTCTTAATTACAACTTTTGTTTTCTCAATTACATCTTACGATTCTTAATTACAATTTTTGTTTTCTCAATTACATCTTGAAAAGGTGTAGATTCAAAATTGATCAAAACTTAGTAGTTGCTCAGATAAAGCATGAGGTGAACTCAAATTTTTTTTTAGTTTCAGTTTGTTTTATGAAAAAATTGGTGCAAGTTTGTTTAATACATCTGATAAAAGGAATAATCTTGTTGCCATAAACTCACGATGGCAATTAAACAAAAAATGCGGCCGTGGCGCAGTTGTTAGAAAGTTTTCTTTATAAGCAGGAGATCCAGGTTCGAAACGAGCTTTGGACATATTTCGCGTCACTCGGGGCACCTAAAATAACAAATAAAAAAAATAAATAAATAAAAAATGTAATCTAAACTCACGATGTAATCATAAACTCACGATGATAACTAAATAAAAAATGCAATTTACGGGGTACTCCTGTCTAGAGCCTCTTGAACTTTGCGCGTAATTTTTTAACGGATTCAATAACTAAATCAAAGTTATTTATTTTCACATTTTTCTTGTAAATTTAGTAAAAGTAATTTTTTTTTTATTTACTCGCTGAACTATCATCCTTACTTGCTATCCACAGTTGCAACAATTCCACAATTTCTTGCGGGTTACCAAGAATCCCACACGGAACCCACATAAGAACCCATGTGGAACAAGCGCTTTTTTTCACTGGGTTGATTTTTGTTGATTACATTACATTCTTCAATTGCAAGTCTTTAATTTTAAATTTTTGGGTTTGTCACTTTATTCATTTCTTCTGTAATCTAAGAGGCTCAGGTAATAAATTCGACTCTTAACTACTCAAGTCATTGCCGTAGCAAGTAGGTTGTAAGCCCCTCCCCCCCTCCCCCCAAAAAAAAAAAAAAAAATAAAAATAATAACCAGCTATTAGGGCCCCAAAATCTTAAATATATTTCATCTAGGTATTACCAAGAAAAAAAAAGCCCCTTAAATTTGCAAAGCGAAGCTATATTTCCAAAAAAGCCCTCAAAAGTTGCCCCCAACCCTTAACTTAGGGGTGTTAGGGAAACTAGCCACTATTTTAAGTGTAAAAAAAAAACACGTCATAAATTTGCAATCGTCTTTAAAAATTACACGCAATACGCAATGGAGAGCGATTATAAAATTGGTACCATTTAAAGAAAGCTATAAATTTACTTTGTTTTTGCATTTTAAAGTGAATATTTTAGCCATATAAAAAAGTTGTAAAGAGGCTTATGCGTAATACTAAATTTTGCACATTTACTGCAGATTTTTGTGCCGAAAAGTATTTTTCAGTTTTATGATATTGAAGATCCGTTTATTAAAAAGGACTGGAACCAAGTTGTTACCCAGAATTCAGCGGTCACATTTTGCTTAGGAGTTTCTTTTCTGTGTCGTTTTGCGAAAACTCGCAAATAAGTTTTTCTGATTTAATACATTTATTCAAGGATTTGTCAAAATATGTATGATTCTTTACCTACATCGTTTGGAGGAAACAGAAGATATGATAATCGTGATAGCAGAAGAGGAGGTGGTGGGTAAGTTACATTTCATTAATAGTGAAATATGTACTAATTATTTTAAAATCAATTTGAAAAGATTTTAATTTCTATACCAAAGAAATTTTATTATTAGAACTATGTTTATAGTTTAGGAAATTATTTATATTTTAATATATAGTTTATAGTGGCAAATATCGAATACATACAGAAAACTGCACGTACACCTAAACATGAATCGCTAACTTGAAAAAAGGGACATTTTTTGCAGGACATGTCCCCTTTTTCAAGTTAGCGATTCATATTGTATTTCACATTTATGTTTTTTTTCACATATCACGTTTACATTTTATAGGAATGAGAAAACTTTAAAATAAAACAATATTTTTTGAATAAACTCATACATCCAACTTTAAATTTTCTATAAATATGAAAATCATCTCTTTAGGTTAAGTATTTCAAAAGTTTTAAGGTGTGATTTTTGATATATATATATATAAACGTTGTGAAAAGTTAGTTCGATCCTTTTTTTTTTTAACAGAAATTTTTTTCATAAAATTAACAAATATATCAAAATAAAGCTCAGAGTGTAATGAACAATTATAAAAACTAAATATAATTACAAATGTAAAGCTAAATATAAAGATTTATATGTAAAAAACAAAATAATAATATATTTTATCTATGTTTTCATTTTTCAATTTTTTGTAAAAACTTATTTAAAAAATATGAGATCAACTGAAATTAAAATCTATAGGTTGTTTAGTAAAGCCATCCATTACAAATTTACAAAATTTTTAAGCAAAATAAAAAAATAAGTGTCTTGCACCAATCAAAAAAACGTTAAATCTTGTAATCTTTGAATATTATGCTAACATTGTTTCTAAAAATTGGATATTCACAACAATACCTTGTGTGCTTGGGTAAATCTATATATAAGCACATCAGATTTACTCAATTATTTTCAGTAACGGTATTTATTTTCAGTCAGGGTAGTGAACGCAACTGTTTTACACAATGAAAAATTGGACATTATGTTACAAGTTAAGCAATAAAAAGCAATTTCCACTAAAATTATAAAAATGCAACTTTGAAATGCAACTTTAAAATCAACTTTAAAAGATCATGGTATATTTTTTTGATAAACGCCTTTTATTTTAAATAAAAAAAAATTATAAAAGATAAACCTTTCCTTGTTAAATAAATAGTTAAATTAAGCAGAATAAATATTATTATTAAAGTGTTGGTAATGATTTGGGATCTTTTTTTTGCCTTTTTTCTTCAGAAAACCTGTCTTAAGCCAACTAAGATTTAATAATGTAGCTACATAGTTGAAATTTATAACACATATCAATGAATGTCTGTTCTATTATAAAGTTACTCTGTTAATTTTATTACAGAAAGTGATTTATGGGTCAAATTATATTTATCATTATATTTCAACCAATTTTGAGAAAACTTTGTTTTCTCAAAATTGGTTGAAATATAATGATACCATCTCGGATTTTGCTGATTATTACATATCATTATTTACATTATAGGTTAAGTTTGAAATTTCAGGCTTCCAAGTGCAATAGTTCAGAAAATATAGCTTCATAAACAATGCGCAGTGGCCCCCCTTGAATTAAGGATTGTAAAAACAGACTATTTGAATGCCTCGTAACTTTTTTCTATCTTTCGACAAGTGGCTCATTTTTTCTAGAAGTGTTTTCTGGGTAGTTCTGTGTTGAAAATACTGGTTTTTGTTAACTTGTATCATATTAGAAAAATTTATAGCCTTCTCAACTTCAAAAAAAACTGAAAAATGCTAAAAAAGCCCAAAAAGAAGTTAACTGTAGTAGTTTTCTATTCATCAACAAGTTGTAACAATTTAGTTTTCTGATTAGCTACTAAAAAAAATAGGCCGCTTGTTGCAGTTTAGAACTGAAATATATCTAAAAATGTATTTTCCATTCGCTAAAAAAATTCCCGTTTTTAGCCATTTTGAAATGCTCATAACTTTTTCTAACACTTTGTTAGATGATGCATATTCATATACAAATGCAAACGAATTCATCTATAGATGACAAAAAGTCTCCATAATGATGGCAAAAAACAAATTTTGGATATATATATATATATATTATTTTTTAAATCTTATTACCATTTCTTTATTGTTTTATCTTTTTCTTTTTTGTTTCATTTTAAGTTTAAACAAAATGTTGAAATATTAATAATTTGTTTACTGTTAAATGTTTGATTAAAAAAAATCAATTGAGGATAAACCCTTTTCAATTCAAATTTTAAAAATAGCTTCAAATCGTTTTTTCAATGTTTAGTGGTCGAGGTGGCGGAGGAGATCATGGCGTTGGGGCACAAAGTGGTTTTAACAAAGAATATACTGTGCCTGGTTCAAGTCTCCGAAAGCCTCGATGGGATTTAAATTCATTACCAAGATTTGAAAAAAACTTTTACAGAGAACATCCAGCTGTTCAAAGTCGTTCTCTGGTGAGTCTTAAGTTGACTTATTTTTCATGTTGTTTTAAAATCTTTAGATTTTAAAATGTTTATAATTTTATTATAAAATATTGCTGCTTTTAATGTTAGGAAGAAGTTGATATGTTTCGAAAAACTAGAGAGATTTCTGTAGTTGGAAGAAATATACCAAAGCCTTGCCAAAGTTTTGATGAGCTTTGTATTCCAGGTTTACTTTTTTTTTTTTTTTTTTTTTTTTTTTTTTTTTTTTTTTTTTTTTTTTTTTTATTCAAAGTTTTTTTCTTTAATTTATTTCTAATTCATATCACTAGTTAATAAAGCTTGTGAATTAACATTCTTTAACAATTATTAAAGATGGGCTGTTAATTTAATTGCTAATGTAAGACTTAACAATTATATTTTGGACAGTATTAAAGAGTTTATATCAGTGCGTTGATTATAGTATTTTTATAGTAGTTGATTGAGCTTTGTACTCAGAAAAAATACTTACTGTTTTAAAATTAATAAAATACTGCATAAAAATTATTCTAAGTAAAATTTTTACTTTATTTTTATTTTAAGTAAAATTTTTATAAACAGAAACTTGTAATTAAAGAAAATAACTTGTAAAAATGTCAAAATTAATTTCTAATATTAATAGTCAGAAATTGCACTCATGCTAAGAGCTTTCCTTTATAAGCAAAAGTTTAAGTATGATCAAAACATTTTTAATGTTTGATCATTTTCTAAATTAAATTTTGGAAACTTGTCAGTGCTTCACTTGAGTATTATAAAAATTTAGATTTTTTTAATTTATTAATCGCTAAAAATTATATAAAGATTTTTTATGGAATGTTAGTATGTTAGTTGTAGTATACTAAAAATAGTAAAGTTTATAGTCTTAAGTGATGAAATCTGTTTAATAAAGTGATGGTTTATGCAATTTTGAAAATAATTTTACTGTAAAACTAGAATATTGACGAAATAGTTAACTTGTTTAAATGTAAAATAAAAAAATATTTTAGATTATGTAGGCGATGCTCTTCGTAAATTCAATTTCAAAGAGCCAACTGCTATTCAATCTCAAGGGTTTTCGGTTGCTCTTTCTGGAAGAAATATGGTTGGTATTGCGCAAACTGGTAGTGGAAAAACGATATCTGTAAGTTATAACTATTAAAAGTAAAATATGGTAAAATTTTGCAGACAAGTTTTTTTCTGTGAAAAACTATCATCATTTAAAATGTTTTTATGTTAAGTTTTATGTTTACAAAACAGTTAACTGATAATTAATTATGTTCTCATAATTTTTTTTTTTGGAGGGATCAACTTTGGTGCTGTAGTATTGTTTTGTCATAATTATTTTTCCTATATTTTAAAATAAACCAAGTAATAAAATAAACTTCTGTTTAACTTAAATAGAATAGTTAAATTAATTTAATTACTTAAAATATTCTTACTGAACCTAATAAATCTATATCTTTAAAAAAGTTTTGTTGATTTTATTAAAGTTTATCTACTCTATTATTTTTACATGGTGGAATCATTTGCTCTAACACTCAATATAATAATTTTTTTCAAATGTAAACAAAATTCATATGCTGTAGTTTTGACGTTATTCAGGTTTGGGCAGAAGTTATGTGCACTTGTGGACATAATTTCAAATAATGTGGACAGAAATTATGAACACTATTGCTGACCACACAGTCGTTTTTTTTTAAAGACTGTTCAGATGTTTTGATGTTGACATTTCAAAAATGTGCTAAAAAAAAGAAAGGTTAAGTTAAACTTAAACTAGAAAAAAAAAGTTCTTTAGCAAAAAAATATATAAGCACTAAAATAAAATTCAAACTTGAAGCAAAAATTGCTTTTTATTACGTTTTAAATTGCATTTATAATAAATTACTCCAAAACTTATCTTTTGAAATGTTTTATTAAAATTGTGCCAAATGTTTTTACATTAAGTAACAAATTATTTCAAATAGTTAAATAATAGAACAAATTTTATTTAAGTTATTAAAAAGTGTTATATATAATACTTTTAAATTATATAAACAAATAATTTTTTCAAAGATTTGCAAAAAATTTGTTTAAAAAAAATAGTCTTTTTAAAATAATGTTTAAAAAACGTAGTCATTTAAAATAATGAAGATTATAAATCAAAATCAGGGTTGGACAAATTCCAATTCTGATGTTGAATTGTAATCTTATTGAATTTGAAGACCATTATATATTTCTTATTTTTATATTCTTTTTTTTTTTTTTTTTTTTTTTTTTTTTTTTTTTTTTTTTTTTTTTTTTTTTTTTTTTTTTTTTGCGTCCAAAAAATAATTATGTACTAGAATATATAAAATAATTAGTTCCAATAGAAAATGCAATTGTAGATTAAAATTAACTGAAATCTTCGTTAAGAAATGTTATATTAATGGTATAAAATTATTTGATGATTTGAATAAAGTGCATCTGCAACTTAAATAAAATATACTGTTAACAAGCAATTTAAATTTATTTGAGCATTATAAGCTTTTTGTAACTTTATTAATAAATATTAGTGCAAGTTTGAGTTTTATATTAGTGCTTACATATTTTTTTGGTAAAAAATTATTTTTTTTATTGAAAAAAAAAAATTTTTTTTCTAGTTAAAGTTTAGCTTAGCCTTTCTTTTTTTCAGCACATTTTAAAAATGTTTTAAACATTGAAACAGTCTTAGTCAGTTATCATAAAAGCAATTGCGTTCAATCACACATCATCTCTGTCCAAACCTAATTATAAAAACTAACGCATAAAAATTTAAAAAGCCAATTAAATTTATCATTAAGAATACATGTTATAGTTGAACTTTTTTAAAAAAAGTATTTTCCAATGATGTTAAGCATCAAAGTGCTTATGAATAGTTAGTATGATTGCAATTCTTCAATATCTTTGCTAACTACTAATAAACTAGTTAATCATCTTCAATCAATGTTTATTCTATATTCAATCTATAAAATTAATGATAATGTCAATCTATAAAATTAATGATAAAAAAACAATTCAAAACTAAAAATCATCTTTTCATAACTTTGTAATATAAAGTTTACTAAAAAAATTCCTCAAAATAATATATCCTGCTGACTTAATTAGGATTTATCCTTCTATGTGTTTATATACTGTTATAAATGCATTAAGCACTTTTGTATAATAGCATTTTCGTAGCGGAGTGGGAAAAAAATTGTTGTTTTTAACTACATAAAAAAATGAACAAAACATTCAAATTATACATTAATGTTACTTTTCTATGTTTGTTATATAAAAAGTAACTTAAGAAATAAGTTTATTAAAAAAAATTTAGTTTAACCTTTTCAAAACAGCAAAAATTAACTATTTTCTTCCAATACGTCACTAAGCAGAAATAGGCTTTTATTTACATTTTTTAAAGACTTGATTTTAATTTTTTAAAGACTTTTTTTATGGAATTAGGTTAGTATAATAATAAATCAATTTAAATAAGTAACAATATTCTGGCTACCTCATAATATCATGTGTAAAAATTATCTTAAAATATTTAATGGATCCTTAATTAAAAACCTATTTCCTTTTTTAGTAGGAGTGCAACGCTCAGTGTGGCATAACACTTCTTAATAAGGCCTATTAGTAGTTTTTAGATAATGTTAGTGTGTTAATGTTAGATAATCTAAATAAATATCGATGTTATAGTTTTTTTCTACTTAATAGAATATTGATTTTAATACAATAATTTTAGTTTGTTCTTCCTGCTGTAATACATATTAATAACCAACCTCCATTAAACCAAGGCGATGGTCCTATTGTAAGTATTTCATTTAAATGTTTTTATTTTATAAATTTCTAGTTGATTTTTTTATATTTTCTACGCATAATTTTTAGTAAATTCTTTAATAATGCGACTTGCGCAGCGGTTACAGTGTTTGTTTGATCCATGTTCGAAACGAGCTCTGGGCATATTTTGGTGTCACAGTAAGGAAGGAGGCGTGAACTTCCTGGTTTAATGCATTTCTCTGGTGCTCTGTGACAAGACTGTTAGGTCTTCTTGGGGCACCTAAATAACAAAAAAAAATGATTATAATTGGGTTTCCACATCCAAGGATTATCTTTTTCTGTATATTTCTATAAAAAAATTTTTTTCTGGATATCTAATAGTTTTCTGGAAATACAAGTTGAATTTTTTTTTTTTTTTTTTTTTTTTTTTTTTTTTTTTTTTTTTTTTTGTCATCAAATAATTAAAACAATAAAAATATTTTCTTTGTATGAATCGATTAACTCTATTTAAATAAGTATTGAAATACTTTTCTTTTATATAAAGATTGCCTGCCAAAATTATAATTTTTTAAACGCATTAGATATTTTTAGTTTGTTTTTTCTTTTTTCTGGATCTTTCTTAAAAATACTTTCTGGATTATTTATAAATGACCAGGATCCCTGGTATATTGATTTTTTTAAAAATGACCATAATCCTTGCATATCAGTTGTGTAATTTTTTTAGTAATAGTTGTCCAATATATAATTTTGATTTTTTTATATATACTTTGTGTTCACATTGACTTTATATTGACTATTTTTTTCTTTTTAAATAGATAATATTTGTGATGGTCTCTTCTTTTTTCAAAAATCTCTAAAATCCTCTATTCTCTGAAAAGTTAAAAATGTGATCAAATCTCATCTTAAACTCCTCTTTTTTATTTTTTTAATTCCTCTTTTTTTATCTTTTTAATTCTTGATGGTAGCATAATTGTAAAAACTCCCTGGTCTGCAAAAGTGGTTAATGTCTGAAATAAGTATTGGGTTGTAAAAAATCAATTTTTAGCAAATCCATGTCATCTAAACATGAAAAATGACATTGATCCTTGTCCAAATGCCAAATATATAGAAACATGTATGTTTAGCCATGAAAAAAATTCCTTTAAATTAAATGCAATATCTCCTCTTAAAGGAGATATTGCATTTAATTTATTTAGAGATATTCTTTTTTTTTTTTTTTTTTTTTTTTTTTTTTTTTTTTTTTTTTTTTTTTTTTTTTTTTTTTTTGTAAAAATTTATGTGGTCGCCCTGATTTTTACTGAAGTTTACTAAATACACAGGCTTGGTCGGGAAGCTGGAGCAATTGCTGACCATGTAAATAATATTTAGTTGCGAAAAGCTGGCCAGATTTTTTAGTTGATTTGAGAACATTTTAAAAAGCAAAAAATAAAAAGCGCACAAAATTAATTGGACTGATGAGAGACAATTACAAAAAAAAAAAATTAGGCAAATAAAATATCTTTAGACACAAAAAAACTTAAAGCTAAATAAATTACGTTTAGAACAAATATTTTCGAAACATCGCTCATTTATAATTTTTTTTATAAAATTAACTGATGTTTTTTATATAAAGTAACATCTTACGATTGTTTAAAACGGAAACAAATATTCTTTATTTAACAAAGTTTGCAAGTTTTAGTTTTATTTAAGCTAAATTATTTTACAAATAAAAAAATTAATTTTTTTAATACCTATTTTATGTTTCGCGTAGTTTAAAAAGTTTAACATATTTGAAATAATTAAATTATAGAAATTAAATTAACGAGATAAAAATCAACTAATAAAGTTAAAAATACTTTATGACGAGGAAGCGAAACTGCTTCACAATATCGCTGATGATGTTTAGTGAGTGGGCTTTTTAATTTTAATTAGTTTTTAAAGCAGAAAAAAGTATGAGTTTTAAAGATGGCAACTTAAGCGAAAATAATAAGAGTTATTAAACCAATATCTAGAAACTTTTCTTTACATCTAATTGTTTGCTATATATATTTGTGTTCTGTCGTGACCTCAGGCATGATGCATGTTTATCCGCTAGTTACTTTGTATGCGATGTTTGTGTTTAGTAACCAGAAACTTCTCATATGTTTGTTCTACTAGTTTTATTAACTGTGTGTTCCATAACTAGTTTTATAATTATAACTTCATTGAAAATGCAATTATTTTTGTAAGTCTTTGTTTAAATCTTAAAAATTGCTTTAAAAGATTACAATAAAAAACAGATACACAAAGTTACACTTACATAAAGAATACATACTTTTGAAATAAAAAATAAGAATATACTAATAAAATCTATAATTTACAATAAACTTTTAAAATTTAGACAATTTAATTAATATGTATTTAAAACATTTATTTTTGTAAACAAATAATATATATTCTTGAAACAGTTTATGCTAGAAACCTCAAAACGTAGCAAATTGTGAATAATATAATTTTTAAAAATTTCAACAATATTCTAGAACTTTATTTTAGTCAGCATATTTTTTGAACCAATAGAACTAGTTTGTTCGTTAATTTGGTGGGTTTTTAGTGTTCACAAATATTTTTTTTATTCTTTCGCACCAAAACATTTTGAGAACATTCAAGTCTCTTATGTTTCCATGTTTGTCCGTAAATTAAAAAATTTTTGTTTCGTACATAAACTTAAATGTTCTCAAACGACTAAAAAACCTGGCCAGTTTTTTCATCTAAATATAATTTCCATGGTCAGTATTCAAGAGCAATCGCTCCCGCTTCCTGGTCAAGCCTGCATACAATTTTAGACTCTTGATTGACTTTTTTAATTTATATATGACCTCATTTTAATAAATAATAAAAATTTTGAGTGATAATTTTAAATTAAAATATTGACTTTTATTAATTAATATATATATGTATTGACTTAATTTATATGTGACTTTATTAACATTAATTGATCAAGTCATTTACAAATTGACTTTTTTCCTTTGTTTAGTGTTTATATATATAAATATCTAGAATAGAATTCATTGTTGTTAATATTTGAATTCTTGCTTATAGTGTTTAGTTCTTTGCCCTACTCGAGAGTTGGCCATACAAGTCCAGGTATTTAAATTGATATGTGTTTGTATGTATATATACACGCCTCAACAATCGCCAGTGCCCACCTTCGCACCTGTGTTAGTTGTGGTGTAAGTCACTGGTGAAATAATGCCTGTGCAAAATCCAATTGTCTCATATTTTTATGCTGCAAAATTTATTGTATTTTAGGTTAAGTAGTGTTTTACTTACGTAAACAAAAATAGTGAACAACATATTGCGTATTTATAATAAATTATCACTAATAAATGTTATGTAATAACACAATAGTAATAAAAAGAGTTTAAAGTTGAAATTGAATTATGTTGCACAAAACCAAAATATCGAACTCATTCACTCAAGTTTTAATAACAAATGCCTTTTCTTAGAATTACTTGTTTCCTAGCAAGTAACTACAATGCTTGAACAAATAAATATAAGAAAAATAACTGTTGCTGACTGTTGTTTTTCTGTCACTATTGGTGAGGATGGCTTACAAAATTTAAGTCTTTTGAGATATTTTGCCACTCATTTGCTCCTGACTTTTAAAACCTAATTTTATTTGCTATTTATAAACATAATTTTATTTCCTATTTCAATTTGTTGTAAAATTAATTTTATTTGCTATTTCATTAATTATAAACATCAAAACAAATGCTTTATATAGATTTTAAATAAAATTATGAAAGTATAAATGAAATAAGATATAAAGGGAAAACAAAACTTTTTTTTCTTAAGTTCTTAACAAATTAATTTAAACACAAGAGCAAAATAAGTGTTTCAATTCCCAAATAAAATAAAATAAAAAACCAAAAAACAAACATTTTTGGTTCAATTCTTAATAATTTAAAAATAAGAGCAAAATAAGTGTTTTAATTCCCAAATAAAATAAAAAAACAAACATTTTTGGTTCAATTCTTGATAAAATAATACAAAAAAGATAAAAAAAGTTGACAATAATAATATACAAACAATAAACAATCTATTTAATAATGAATGTTGAATTTAAATTGTAAATGCAAACCTTTTATTAAAATTGTTAATGAGAAAATACAAATAAAAACAACTTATTTTACGTTTTTACAATTTTTAAAAAAATAATTTAAAGAAAATTAAAAGAAAGCAAAACTTTTTTTAAATTTCTAATAACATTAAATGTTGCATTCGTTTTTCAAAATTTTAAACATACCTCTACGTTTAAAAGAAATTTCAGTGAACTCAGCGTTTGTTTTTTGGCATTTAAATGACAGAAATAAATATGTACCCTTTATACATGTATGTCGAACCCTGTTTCTAAGTTTTATGTTAACCTAATTTGGATCTTTAATAAATTAAGGTAAGAAGTTTATTGCTGACCTTATTTTTCTTAATTCTGGTAAAGTAAAAACATGTTTTAAAGATATTTGGCATATTTTAAAACATTTTAGTAAAATAAATTTATATTGATGTAAATAATACTATGAAGCTCAGACACATTTATGACATTACAGAAAAACACTATCCGTAAATATAAATTTCATAAAAATCAAAATATGGAATTTTCATCTAAAATATAACATTATTTTTAATATAATTTAATAATCTCAAATCGAAATCAACACCACAAAAATAGTTTCCTAAATTAAATTTGTTAGAAATGAAAAATATTAAAAAGTTTTTTATGCAGCATTTTTGCAAATTATAAGTCTTATTAGTTTTGCTAAGCATTAAGGCAAGTTTCCTCTCGTCTATTTTTTTTTTTTTTTTTATGGAAATGGGATAGGAAAGGAAAAAATAATCATGTGTGAGCATGCTTAATATAAGTTTTAACTTGTCCAAAAGAAAACTGCGCATGCTCACGAGATTATTTTTTCTGCTCTCTTTCCCATAGAAAAATGGATGAGTGGAAACTCACCTTAACAATAATAAATTCTTAAATTAGCCCCTTAATAGTAAACACTTTTTTTTTGCAGTAATTTTCTTCTAGTTGAATCTTTTTATTAAAATGCTGTTTATAATATTTTTCTTCAAGTAAGGAGAATTCTTAACAAGAGTTTATTCAGTTTTGCCTAAGATACAAGTCGTCAATTTAAAAAGCATAATCAACATTGCCTATATCTATCTGACCTTAATGTATAATGTATATCACTGTGACGAATATAACCGTTGTTCCCTGAGGTTAAAAGGGTGTTAATAAAAATTAAAATAATCATTTTAAAGGTAACTTAAGTCTACTAAAAGCATTTTGAAGTTAAGAATTATTTTTATATTTTCTAAAAGCTAAAGTTTGTTGAGAATTTGTTGTTTATTTTAATGCCTTATTATGAAAGGCGTTATTACTGTTTTAGAGCGTTGCCGGACAATTTGGATTAACTACTAGAGTAAGAAGTACATGTATTTATGGAGGAGCATCAAAAGGACCTCAGATAAGAGATTTAGAAAGAGGTATCTTTAAAAGTTATATAAAAGTTGATTATTTTTTTAGACATGCATAATTAAAAAATTAAACATAATATTTTTTAATATAAGTAACTCAATAGTTATGTTTATATTTTAAATAGTTTTTGTTATTATTAATGATTGGTTTTAGGTTCAGAAATTGTTGTTGCAACTCCTGGAAGATTAATTGACTTAATTGAAATAAGAAAAATTAGTTTAAAACGAGTGACATATTTAGTATTAGATGAAGCTGATAGAATGTTAGATATGGGTTTTGAGCCACAAATACGAAAAATTATAGATCAAATACGTCCTGATCGTCAGGTGCTTATGTGGTCAGCTACGTGGCCAAAAGAAGTTCGAAAACTTGCAGAAGATTTTTTAACTGACTATATACAAATAAATATTGGTTCTTCAGACATTCATGCTAATCATAATATATTACAAATTGTTGATGTATGTGAAGAATATGAAAAGGATAGAAAACTTGTTAAATTACTTGAAGAAATAATGGGAGAAAAAGAAAATAAAACAATTATATTTTGTGAGACAAAACGCAAAACAGACGACATAACGCGAAGATTAAGAAAAGATGGGTAAGAAACTAATCTTCATTCAAATGTATTTTTATATGTTTGTGTGTGTAAGTACTGTCATAACAAAAGTTTGCTTATTTTCGTGCATTTTTATTTACACTAAAGCTTCATATCTTGCATTTATCTATTTTTTTTGTTTCTTTTAATTCTCAGGTGGTTTTTTTAATTAGTCTTGTGTTGCATTTGTCTGTATGTTTTCATTATTGTATACAGATATTGTTCGGCACATATATTAAGTTGTGATTGAAAAGTGACTTGTCTAAATATGCTTAAATGGTTACTTTTGATCAAACACTAAAAAAAAAATTTTTTTTTATAAGTTTATATTATTTTAGATTGTAAAATAGTTAAAACATTAAGTTGTTACTTGTTATTATTTTTATACAATAAAAAAGTATATTGTGTGCGTTATGTATTAACTATCATTCAGGGATGATCTTTTTCCGGATATTTTTTTCAACTTATAGTTTTTCCGGATATACATATTTTCAATACATGCAAGTTGAGTTATATATTTTTGTATTATATTTATTTTTTAAGCTTTTACACTCGTCACTTAAAAAAAATTATGAACAGTAACCAAAAAAAAATTAGAAACAACTTAACTAAAAGCGAAATTAAAAAGAAAATAAGGGAAAACAAATTCCAGATCAGGATAATCTATGATCATTAACTGCATCATTAACTATTCCAATTTGTAAACCTCATTGATTCTTATATTTTTAAACACAAAACAGTAAAGAAAGTTCCTCACTGCTAAATAAATAAAGTACTAAATTCTATTGAATAAACTGTTATTATGATAATTAAAAATGTGCTAGCCCAATCCACTAACTCTTTCAGTCCCTGACCTGCAATGCAGTTTATGAATTTTGTTAGTATTTATGACCACGCTAAAATGTTTATTAATCGTTTTTCTGACCAAAAAAAATAAGGTCTCGTTTATGAAATTCTGACCATTTTATAACTTTTTTTTAATGAAATTCTGACCATTTTATAGCTTTTTTTTTATGAAATTCTGACCAAACATATTTTATAGCTTTTGAATCAATGATAACATTTTGCCAACAATTTTTTGTCTGAATGGGTTATGAATAATATTCTTGTATCAAAAAGTTGTTTTGGATATGCTGTTGATATATTATATTTTTATTGATTAGATAATGCTATATGATTATATAAGTATATTATGTAAATAAGCCAAGTATTCGTCACAATATTTATGAGCATTAAAATATGGTAGTTAAAATTGTTTATAATCTTCAAACACTTTTGGTTGTTTTTTAGATGGCCTGCAATGTGTATACATGGAGATAAATCTCAACCCGAGCGAGAATGGGTTTTAAAAGGTTTTTTTTATTTATTTATTTTTTATCTAAAAAGATATTGGTTGTGATAAGTATATAATTAATGACTTGAAAGTTAGTAATATAGAAAGTGTTTTAAAAATAAGTTATTTTTGGTTTTTAACAATTTTTTAAATACAATAATTTTCAAGACAAGAATATGTTTTCCATTAATAAACTTTTCACTTTTCATTCAAAATATTTAAAATAGTTGGATATTTCTTCTAAGTATAGTCATTCTTTTATACCAGGCTGACCAAGAAATTACAGGCATGGTGTGCTGCAAATTTAAAAGAATAAGGTGTCAACACAATTAGTTTAAATAATCCTAATACATACTGATTTTTAAATTTAGAATTTCGTAGTGGTAAAGCTCCAATTCTAATTGCTACTGATGTAGCCTCAAGAGGATTGGGTAACTTTTTTGTAATCATAATCGTTGATTTTGTCTATTTAAAATTAATTTTAACTTTTATTTTTATTCTAATTGTACTTGATTTATAAACCTTATTTCAACTGTGACTTTGTAAGCTTTAACTTAATTTAATTTTTAGATTTATGTTTAGGAATTTAATTTTTTTTCTTTCTTTTTCCGTAGGTGCTTTGCGGTTGGTGCCAGTAAACTAGACATTGCTCATCTTGTAGGGATACCGAAAGAAGAGCTCTAGTCATCATATCACCGCCATGCTTTTCTTAATTTATTCTAACAGGTAGGCCTCAAATATAAAAAACACCTAATTAAAAAAACTTTTTATTACCATGGCGGTGTAGATGAAGTTTGAATAGAAGTTGCTGGAGCTCTCGTTATCACGCATGCCACTACTTCAGTTACATGTAATGGATCATTGTTCATCTTTTCTCTTATTCTTTAACAACGAAGAATCACCTGTTTGGTGTGGTTGTCATTGGTATTGCTACCTGTTAAATTCATCTCACCGATAGAAGAGGCAGGTTTTAGTAGTTCTGTTTATGCAAGTGAAGATTTTTTTTTTAATTAACTGTCTAGTGGCATTGAAATTTGATAGCGTGATACCCAAACATCCCTTTTTACTGGTATTAGTTCAATATGGCAATGTCTTTTCCACTGGTGTCCCGTACCTTTTTGTGGTACAGCTTTTTTACTTAAGCTGTTCATTAAATAAAATTGTGTTTATATACTTTGAAGGTTTGTAATAAAGAATTTTATGATTATAAGATGGTATTGTAGAGCTTAAAATTAATGATCAAGTTTTTTTGTATAGATATACCGGACATCAACTTTGTTGTCAACTATGATTACCCTAATAGTGGTGAAGATTATATCCATCGAATTGGCAGAACTGCACGTGCTGGAAACACGGGTACAGCATATACTTTTTTTACTAGTGCAAACGGAAAATATGCAGCTGAACTCTTAAAAGTCATGGAGGAAGCAAATCAAACAATTCCACCTAAGTTAGCAGAGCTTGGAGGTCGTCTATATAATGGACGCAAAAGAAGTTAGTGCAAATTATTTCTGTTTATTTATGTGCTAATTATTTCTGTTAGTTATTTCTATTAGCGCAAATTATTTCTGTTTATTTATGATTTAAATTTGTGATGTACGTGTATATTGTTTAATGTAATCTAATCTGTGTGTTTTTAGTGCGTTACAGTTCTGAAAGTGATGACAAGGGTCCTGGGCTGAAACGTCCTCCTGTAAATAATGGCGGTTACAATAATACTAATGGTGGTCCTCGAAATAGTGCTCCGCCACCGCCAAGAGGACGCCCTCCTGTTCATATGGCATCAAGAGGTGGTCACAATGCATCGTATTCTGGTGGTCGAGGAGGAAGTGATAGTTACAATAGAAATCAAGGTAGTGGAGGCGAGTATATTAATGGGGGAGGTAATCAGCAAAATGGGTGGTCTAGTAATGGTGCCAATCAAGGTATAATGAGTTTTCTTAGAAGAAAACTTTTAGTACGTGAAAAATATGTAAATATTACTGATTTTTGTCTTGTTATCTTTAAAGGAAATTGGAATCATAATCAGCCACACAGAGAAAACCACCAAGCAAATTGGGCCGGCAATCACCAACCGCCGCAGCAACCTCCGTCACAGCAAACTGCATGGAATCAACAACAGCCACCTCAACAACAACAACCGCCGCAACAAACTTCGCAACAACAATGGGCCCAATATCAGCAACAAATGCAGGAATGGCAGCAAAAAAATCAACAATGGCAGCAGTGGCAACAGTCTCAAGGATCTACTTCGAACTAACTTTTAAAATATCCACTCGACGTTGCGAATCTTATTTAAGTAAAAAGTCGCTTTTCGGATCTGTAACTTATAAATTATTACTGATATATAATTTAATAAACTTCGTGAATTTTTTATTATTTAACATGTGTATATATATATATATAAAGCTAAAATCATGTCTTTTAATTTTGGTATTAATGCACCTGTGTTATTTATATTTTTTGAGGTGCTCAATGTTTTCTAAAAAAAGTTTTTTCGTCGCATTTTTAGATTAACTGAACTAAATCCCGCATATAATGCTTCTAAAATAACTTTTAGTTTAGAGAGTTTTCGATATATCAGAGGTGATGAAAATCCATTGTCTCGATATTTTTTCATTGAAATCTTATTTTTGATTTGCTTTCGAATAAGTTTCACTATGATGTTAATTAAGTGTTTTTATGAACCCCTTCAACGCGAAGTTTTGTGTAAAAAGTTGAAGTCTTTGATACAGAATTGTCTGTCAATTACGCAACGCTATACCAATTTCAATAGTAGAAGTCGATCTTATGTGCGGCGGTTTTTATTGAACTGCAGCCTTATTTTAATTTTAGGTATATTTAAAGTTATTTAGTTAAGTAAAGGCCGTTTTCCACAAGACGAAAAATTCGCGCGAAGCGAATTTTTTCGCTACGACGAAACGCTGTTCTGATTTCCACTTTTGATTTCGCGCTACTTTTTTTCGTGGTCAACACTAAAAATGGCAGCAATAAGTTTACGCTGTATATTTAACTGAAGGCAGTTGATACTTTTTTAGCATACTTTCTACTTTGAAGCATTTGAAAATTTCTTTCCGTGCATAAATATTAACATTTCTGCCTTCATATGTAAGGTGATATTATTTTGTAATATAATCATTTAATGTAAGGTTTTTTTTTTACAAGAAAGTATAAGAATTAAATGCTAAACTCTGATATGAACATTTCTATTAAAAACTGTTACTGCAAGAACGAACAGCAGGTTTAACTCTATGTAGAATTTTTCACAAAAAGGTTTATCTTCTCATGAAGTGTAACTTTTGTAATTCTCGATTTAGTTTTATATACAAGTCTGATCATTTTTTTATGTAAGTCTTGCCCCTTGTTTGATAAAATTACTCATGCTAGCCAATTTTCAGAGTAAGTTCATAAAATTAATAAGAACGCCAGGTTAAGAATTTTGTTTTTTGTTACTTTAAAAACAACATGTTTTCGCTTTTTTTAATGTTGACATCACGTGATATAATATTCAAAATTTTATTGGTTTTCGCTTATGGCGATTCGCAAAAAGTCGAAATGGATCCGACTATTTTTTTCGCTGTAGCGAAAAAAAATCAGTATAATCGCCAAAAATGTTTAATCTGCGCATGCTTAACGACGAAAAAATTCGCTTCGCGCAAATTCGCAAAAATTCGCGCTTCGTCGGCCTTAAGGTGGCTCTACCCCTTTTTTTCTAAATTCTTTAACAATTAAAAAAAATGTCTTTGCACTAAGTTTACTGTTGATATATTTAATGAAAAAAAAAATTTGACAAAAAGTTTTTAAAAATGCTGAAAAAAAAAAGCTGTGTCAGCAAAAATTATTAAAAAAGTATCAAATTTTAAACATTAGTTTCTCAAAATCTGTAAATAATATTTGAACCAAATTTTGACAGCATAAAGGTAAAGTAGTAAACAAGGTTCTGAACTAAAATCAAAATTTGAAAATGTACTAATCCATAATGGCTGACAATTATTTTTGAGCATTGAAAAATAAGTTTATTTTAGCAAATCAAAGTGCGATTATACAAGATACAAGATCCATTTGTTCTAAATAGTTGTTTTTAGTTCAGAACCTAGTTCCAATATTAAAAAAAAGTCTGTGAAAATTTCAAGTCAATCGGTTAAACAGAAGTACTAAAAACTGTTGTTTGAATTTAAGTGAACGTAACAAAAACTTATTTCTGAGAAAAATGAAAAACAAAATTAAAAATGAAATAAATAGTATACAAACATGAAACTAGTGTGCCCCAGAACTATAAGTTTCAACCTCTGTCTCTTTTTCTTTGTCAAAGAATCCTTTTTTAAATGCACTCATACTTTTCCTCTGTTTTTTCTTTTTTTCGCTCATTTTACTATTAACTTGTTTGATACGAGTACTGTCCTTTTTTGTTGCATAAAAAAAAAAGTATTTCCCAGGAGTCAAATTTAATAGTTTAAATACACGATTAAGTCCTATAACACCTTCATTATAATTTATGATAGCAGAATATACTCCTATCTCTAAAACAGTTCTTGACACAAAACGAGACTTTGGGCACTTATTCCAAATTAATTGGTTTAAAGCTTCATTTGGGTTTTGGGTAAACCCATGTAAACACTTTTTCAGAAGATCTTCAGAGCCAAGATCTTTAAAGATGCCTTCAATTTCTTTTTTTATAGCCAGAGGCAAATTTAAATGTGCTTTGTAGGTATTTGTACCTTCAAGTTTATCTTTTTGCCATTTACACCAACTCTTTGTTGTTCGAGGGCAAAACAAATGGCGACTTTCAGAATTTATGTCAGAACAATGATATAAAACTGCACCAACTGCACGCCTCATTAGGGGTAGTTCTTTATTCTGCCTTATGGCCATCCCATAAAAGTTTTGCAAAGTGTTAATTGCTAAATCTGTTAACCTACCCCTACCATTAATTTTTTTTCCATCAGAGAGCAATTTACCTTTTAACTCTTTTCTTTTGTTGCGCAGGCGTGCCCCAAGGCGCTTTTGAATGTGGCCAATACATTCCCATTTAATGGGAATCAACTCATCACCATATGGTTTAGACTGTACTACATCATTAAATGAGGCAGTATCTCCATCACCTATGTAGTGTGCGTATCTTAAACCATATTTTTCAACTGATGAGTGAAATATTTCTATAGCTCCCGCGGATTCCATTGCTCCGGACGATTTTGAGTGGTTAATATCACAACGGTGATTTGCTTTCCAATGTTCATATTCAAGAGAATTTTTTTTTTTCTTCCAGACAGCACAACTCTTACAGAACTTAGACATAACATGAACATCTAAAACTTTTTTATTGTCTTTGGAGATAGCTGAAACAACACCATTTAAAGAAGAATATCCTCGCTTCTGCCATGTTCCATCTAAGCTGATATCACAATCAACTGGAAGTTGATGTATTGAAGCACCAGTATTTGCAGAAGTTCTAATCTCGTCTGCAGCTTTTTTCATACATTTAGATGAAGCAGAGTCATAAACATTATGTAAAAGATTATTAATGTTTTTATATGAATTAAAAGTCATTGGAGGTGGCATATTCATACATCCAGCAAATGTCTTTAAAGCTTCATGTCCACAACCAATTTCGCGAAAACTCATTACAGCACGTACATTGACTTCTTGAATGTGTTTATTTTTTATTGCAGGAGATGAGTAAAAATTATAACTCCAATCACAAGATATACATTCTAGTTTAATGTTATGCAAAAGTCCTAATTTTTTTATTTGGTCAAGACTGATAGTGACCTTGTCGCCACATTCTAGGCATCTACTCAAAAGTTGAAGACAACTTTGCAGTACTCCAAAGTGAATTATTATAAAGAAGTTAGAATCTTCTTTTTCAACAGTTAAAAGTGAATTATCTAAACTAATTTTTGATGATGAAACAGCTTCCTTTACTATTGGTTTATCAATTTGATTTTTTGTAGCACATGTATATCTGTTAGATAAAAACTTTTTCTGATTAATCTTATTTTATTTTTATTATTACCCATATTTAATCACTCTATAAACATATAAAGAATAAGTGCAGTTATTTGTATTATTAAGATAGATAAAAAAATATTGGATAAAGCCACTGTGTTGACTACTATACAACATAAACAACATTACTTCTTGTTAATTAAATGTCATCTTTAAAATGAAAACTATAACTTGTAAATAACAGAATGCCGTAAAACAAAGTAGACAAAGTAAAAAATGCATTTTGTTGTTCAAAATTATAAGTTTTTTGTCAAAAAATAGGCAGATAAAACAAAGCTAACACGGTTGCTAAGGTGTTGCTATGGATAACATTTTTAACCCTACACCATAAAAATGTAAATTTCTTTATGATGGAACGTATAACTTATCTCAAATGACATATTTTTGGAATCTGCAATGCTTAAACTAGATAAAGAAGCAATAAAAAAAAATTTGATTTTTTTTTTTTTTTTACATTTTTAAGAGGGTTGAGCCACCTTAAAGTTCATTAAGCGGCGATCATAAGAGCAATTTCAAGTTGTGGGAGTATTCTTGTAACCGAGAAAAGTTTCCTCACTAACGACTAAAATCAGAGAGTAAAATCATAAATAAAATAGAAACAACTTAGCTATAGGCAAATTTAAGAAACAAGTAAGCGAAAACGAATTCCGGATATTTTATGCAAACAATTTTCCGGATTTTTAAAATATGACTAGGATGGTTTATGAAAAATACACTGTACTATTAAAGTACTAGAAAAAAATTATTCTAAGAATAAAACTTTGTTTCAACTGGGGTTGTTAGCCGATAAACAAAACCTACAAAAATTTCGTTTTTTTGTCTCAGCATGGAAGTGTAAAACAGATAAATCCCGAAAAATTTCAACTGCATTGAAATTTTTCGAGACTGTTGTAACCTTTTGTTTTGTAAACAATAAGAAAACGACATCAATACTGTACTTTAACGCTTAAGGTGAGTTTCCACTCATCCGTTTTTTCACGGGAACGGGAAAAATAATCACGTGAGCATGCGTAGTTTTCCTTTAGACATATTAAAACTTATACTACGCATGCCCACGTAACTATTTTTCCCGTTCCCGTGAAAAAAACGGGTGAGTGGTAAACTATATGTTGACGCAAATAGATGCGTTTACAATAATTTAAAAATATAGTATTTTGAAGGTTCGCCAATAATATTCAAGAAAAACATTAAAAATGGCGTAACGTAACGGCAAACAACAACTTTTTTATAAACTTCATATTAAATGAATGGACTACTACAAGAATGAATGGAGTTATGATATACTGCTTATAAAACTTTAAACTTTAGTTATTTAGAAAACAATTTTTTTGATTTTTTAAAAATTGTTTTAGTT